AGTCACTTGGCTAGTGCTCGAACTGGTAATAAAACTAAAATAAGAAAAATTGGAATTAAATTTTGGCTTAGCCCTAACCTGGTACACATACTACGTTCCAGTGTCCGCCATTTTGGTTCACATACTTCAAGAGCACCCACGTTTTATATTTGAGGATTTGTAATATATTTTTGTTCCATTTTTTCAATTTTGTATTCTTCCATGTATGCCTTTTAAATCTTTTCACGACTATGCAATAATTATACTCATTATTCTTGAATACTTCATGATCATAAACCGTTTTTATTGTTTATTAATTTATTCCTTTATCGCTCTATTAGAATTAAATAAAACTGCAAACGAAATTTATTAATTTTTTATTTTTGCAAATGGTATAGTACTTTATTTTGGATTTATGAAAACAGTAATGTAATAACTAACAAATTCCAAAGCTCAGATACATTGACGCAAAAGTCAACTCGCGAAGAAAGATGTAAGGTCAGAAAAATCCGCAAATATGACTCAAACTTTATTAAACAAATCAAGCGAATCGCATAGCAAATATAATTTCCAACTCCTCAGTAATAAAATAACATACATAATGACACGAGTCAAGCCGCTAGACATGGCTCTTTCAACTGTTTCAAGAAGATTCCAGTGAATATTTATAATTAATCATTTTAGGACACTTATTTCAAAGTCTTGATTTGTCAAATAGATAGAATAATAAGTAGAGAAAAAATATTTCGACGAATCTCATGAAAATAGGAAGTTGTCGCTTATTGTGGTGAACAATTCTCAAAAAAGCAAGCTTATTGAAATATGAGACATGAATTTTAATTTTATTACCTGCTTTTACCAGAAGTCATTTGATAATATAAAGACTCAAAACACGTAAATGATATTTGGCACAACAACTTAAATATTCAAAGCATTCCAGAATAGCATCTGGCAATTTTTATCTTTCTTGCTCAATTTTCCATATTTAAAAAAAAAATTGCAGCATCACACGGATTGCTGATGATGAACTGCAATGAATTCTCACTATTTGTGACATTTATGGCTAACATGTAAAATATCACTATTATCGCAAATAAATATGTTTTCTCAAGCAAAATTGATTTTATATGTTCAACAGTAATTTTTTAATTTTGTGTGTATACTCTCATCATCCCGCCTGAACGAAAAATAAAATTTCGATCTTACTGCGTCAAGCGTCGGTGAATTCAAATTCAATGTCAATTTCAACTCCGAATTTATGTATGTTGATGAATATGATTCTTGGGCAGTTTTACCTGGTGAAATACCATCTGCATTTGAATGAATGTGTTTTCAATACGTACATCCAGATGATGCTAATTTTCGTTACGTATTTGTTGAATATGACGGTCTAAATCAGTGTTTCCCAAACTTTTTTCTGCCAGCCCCTCTTGAACGACTTTTTAACTAGCCAGCGCCCCTCAAGTCAAAGCAACTTTATTGTCCATTTATCATTAGTATAATGTGGAGGTTGAGCTTAGTGAAATACCACCAGCTTGATAATATCTGGCTTCATAACAGTCAAAAATAGTCTTGAGTCTCGTCTGACACTGTCGAGAGAATCTGTCTTGATATGTAAAAGTGGAGACACTGCACTAATAACACACTCTATCAAGAATGAGCTGACAAGAGCAATAAAAAAAACTTTTGACCCGCGTCCCACACGTGAAGATATTTCAGTTTGATTCTGTTGCCAAAAAGATGAAACACAGAAGGACTGAATATGGGTTTAAAAGTATAAACTCAATGATAGTGGTGCATTTTTGCTTATGGACATTCAGGGTTATCTAGAAAACGGAAACCAAAAATTTACTAACTATCTTCAAAAAACTCATTTAATGTTTGTTATTTGCGCTTGAACTCCTGTTTGCGTATGATAAATCTAACAAGTTTGGCAAAATTTTGAACCTCTCACTTAGTTATCTGCTGCAGCGCACCTTCTGTCAGGACATGGAAAATGAATGATTTCAAACGGTGAATACAGAACATTACGTGGTCGTGCCAAGAAAAATATGCACATGACTTGAGGAATTGATAGCGGTGACCAGCAGTGGTTCCAGCATGACAAGGCGACCCCCAATACATCAAATCAGACGTTTGCTTTCCTGAGAGAAAAGTCAGCAATGACATCCAGTGGGCACCTTAATTATCGGACTGAAACCTCTCAGATTTTGATATTCGAGGTGATCAAAGGCCAATTTGTTCTAGGATTTCTCAAACGATTGGTGAACTCAAAGCTGCAATTGCAGAAATAAAATAGAGAAATACCCAAAGAAGAGTGATTGACAATGTTGCAAAAAATCGATTATTCAAGTAAAAATGCCTCTCTCCATTTATCAGGAAATTCTTTGACATAAAAGTGAACGTGTAGCTTCAACCTTCCTTGTATCGTTTATTGTTTTAAATGCCATAGTCATTGCTCTGGTATCATCGGTACAAGCTCACGTGAAGACTTTCATTGCTCCTTGGGCACTTTTTCAAGCTTTTGCGCCACCTTAAATATTTTTATACTGTTGATTGTCATTGAATCGATTATGGATTATAAAGGCTCGTTTCCTACTTTTGACAGTGCATTGAACTAATTGAACTGCAATAATGCTGGCTAAAAAGGGCATGATATGATAAACCTCGTATAGATTATTTCCGGGTCAATTCGTTTGCCAGATAACAAATAATATAATAAAACAAATGTTTCTCAATGAAGGAAAAAGTTTGTATAATTCTATTTGTACGATAAACACTTGGATAATAAAATAGTTTTTTCTATTGAAAATTTAAAAAAATATAGCTAAAATCAATAAAATGAATTAGTTTCGCATTTCCAAAAAATCACCTAAATATCATTATTTTTTTTATTCAACAAATATATAATTATCATTATGATGTTGTGTGACAATTGAATCACTGCAAGGAAATATGAAATCGCGAAATTTGAATACATATTTGATCGCAGTTAGGGTGTCGGGAAGTTCTGGATTATATTAATTTGTTTTGGTTTTGTAAATATCACTTTAGTATTTTATTATCGCCCCCTCATACTAACAATTTGAATTGCAAACAAAATATTTCATCGATTTTTTTTTCCACATCTATCTTAAATTAAATTCTTGCTGTAAAAAGAGTATTATTCATATTTTGAAAACGTGACTCAATTTTGAAAACCAACTCAACCTTTGTTGAACAGGAAATAACTCGAGTTTAGCTTTGAATTATGCCCTTTTTAGTTGATAAAAGTAAAATTAAATTCAAATCTAGATGCTGGAAACAACATTTAATTCAACATATAAATATTTAACAAAACTCCGCTGGTATAAAAATAAATACTTGTTGCGTACAAAACATACAAAAAGTGCATTAAACGCAAAGATAGTTATTATACCAATTTACCGGAGGCGAATCAAGATCAAAAAAATCAAAACTACTAAACAAATTCTAAGATGACGTGTGCAACATATGTCGTTCAGGTGATAATCTGTGTTTTCTTCTATTTCTCGAAAATTTCCGCCATCAGCATTCAGAGTTCTTCATTTAATGTGAATGAATTACGTCAAAACTTACCATGCAATGTTAAATTCAACTCCAAATTTTTGGATGTAGATGAGTATAATTATTGGACAGTTTTATCTGGTGAAATACCATCTGCGTTTGAATGGACGTGTTTTCAATACGTAAATCCAGATGATGCAATTTTTCGTTACGCATTTGCTAAAGAAGACGGTCAAAATTATAAATTTTTGATGGAGAAAGAAGGATATCTCGGGCTCAGTGAATCAATGGATATTTCAAATATTGACAACAATCATGTATTCGTACATGTGCATGATAAGAATTCTGGAAAAGATATATTGAAATCGAACATTGACGAAAGAGCAGTTGGTACAGTACTGTCCAATGTGACGTTTGAAACATACTTAGAGCTGCAAAATAAAGAAAATGCGGCTGAAGTTTCCATATGCACGTCAAGTTCAAATTGTGATACATAATATAACACAGATATTTTCACTATTCAATATTTGTTATACACAAATTACATTACCATGCTTTTTGATACAAAGATTGCATTCGTATTTGATAATATTGCTTTATATTTTATGTTTTGTATTCTTTTATAAATATAAAAAATTATGCAATTTTGTATGTTTCCTGAATCTTTTTGTATCAGTAAATATTTTTTCGTCTGTACCATAATTTCACAGGCAAATTTCTCTATTCGAAATGATATATTAGTTAGTAATAAAAACAATAATGCACTCCACCTCGACTTTAAAGTGTTATGTGGTTCTCAGCTGCTAACTAAAAATTACCGAAACCCGGGACTTAAGAATTATCAGACAACAAATTCATTAGCCTAGAACATTACGTGGTCGTGCCTTGAAATATATGCACATGACTTGAGGAATTGAGGTTCCAACATGACAAGGCGACCCCCAATACATCAAATCAGACGTTTGCTTTCCTGAGAGAAAAGTCAGATATGACATCCAGTGGGCACCTTAATTATCGGACTGAAACCTCTCAGATTTTGATATTCAAGGTGATCAAAGGACAATTTGTTTCAGGACAATTTCAAACGATTGGTGAACTCAAGGCTGCAATTGCAGAAATAAAATAGAGAAATACCCAAAAAAGAGTGATCGACAATGTTGCAAAAGATCGATTATTCAATTAAAAATGCTACTCTCCATTTATCAGGAAATCCTTTGATATACAAGTGAACGTGTAGCTTCAACCTTCCTTGTATTGTTTTAAAGAATAATGCCATAGTCATTGCTCTGGTATCATCGGTACAAACTCACGTGAAGACTTTCATTGCTCCTTGGGCACTTTTTCAAGCTTTTGCGCGACCTCAATTTTTTTTTTTTTTTTTTTTTTTTTTTTTTTTTTTTTTTTTTTTAAAGTGAAATAAAAAGCACTTCGCAAAATAGCATTTCGTGCTGAACAATGGAAAATCTGTCACTAAAATGTTGTGAAAAAAAAAAAATGTTGTGCTTTCAGTTTTGTTTTGATTCTCAGATTGGTAAGTATAGTATTTTGTAATGTGTTCAAAGTTTTCTTCCAGTTTGAATGATGAACCAATTTATGGCATTTCTAAATTTCACCTCATATAGTATGTTTTCACATGTAAATGGTACATTTTTTCTTCTGCAAAGATTTCGAATGTTTGTTCGATATTGTTCATATTTTGGACAGTGTATTAAAAAATGTTCAGTGTCTTCAACTTCCCTGTTGCATTGGTCGCATATTTCATCTACATTTTTATTGAATTTCGAAAGATGTTTATTTAGCATACCATGACCTTTTTGAAGTCGAAAAATATTTCTTGTTTGTATTCTTGATTCTTTTATTTTTTTCGAGTAATTTGGTAATATTTCCGGAAATATTCTTTTATAGTATAGTCCTGATATGTTTTGTTTATATTGTATATTCCATCTTTCTTGTATATAATGTTTTATTTGGTCTTTATTTTCAGGTTTTGACAAGTCATTTTCTTCAAGCTCTGTTATAGTTTTGAATGATACAAATTTATCTCCCACATATTCATGTTGCCAGGATTCTTCGAGTACTTTTGCTGAGGTAAGTTGAACCGAGTTTTGTAATTTTAATCGGTAATTCAAGCATAATTGTTTTCTTCTTAATGCCAGTGGTGTTTCTGAGCATGCATTCAATACTGCATCCATTGGTGTGCTTCTCATAGCTCCAATGCAAATGCGAAGGGCTTGATTTTGTATTGTTTCCAATTTTGTTAGCAATGTTTTTGATGCTGTGCTATAAATTTGGGTTCCATAATCGAACAACGAGCGAATTAAGGAGCGGTATAATAGTAGCATTGTGTGTAATTGTGATCCCCATTTGGAACCACTAACATATTTCAAAATATTTAATCTCTGCGCTGCTTTTGTTACGATATTTTCTATATGTTCTTTCCATGTCATTTTCTTATCAAATATCATGCCCAAATATTTTACTTTGTCAAGTATTGGTATATTTACTCCTCCAATTTGTAACTTAATTTCTGGATTTCTTCTTTTGTTGCTAAATAACACAGCTGAACATTTACTAGGAGATATTTTCATACCCCATGTGATACACCATTCCTCTATTTTTTTCAGATTTGATTGAACGCTTCGTTCCAAAAATTCAATATTTTTTCCTGTTTTGTATATCCCAAAATCATCAGCAAACTGTCCACAATCTGTATCTTGTAAAGTTGATGGAAGATCATTTACAAAAATGAGATAGAAATAAGGAGACAGAATTGAACCTTGACTAAGTCCTCGTATCGGATGGTATGTATCAGATAACTTGTCTTCAACTCTAACACAGAATGATCGGTTTTCTAAAATATTATCAAAAAAGTTGAACATTTTTCCATTTATTCCCATGTCTGCTATTTTTCCTATTAGTCCATGGTGGCATACAGTGTCATAAGCTTTATTAAAGTCAAGAAATACAGCTAAAGTTGCTTGTCTTGTTTGAAGAGATTTTGTGATTGTATCTTGAAGGGTAATGTAATAAGTGTATCAAGGGTGGATCTTTGTTTGCGAAAAGCACTTTGAATATTGTTGAGTTTTCCATTCAATTCTAAATATATCATCAGTCTGTTGCCAACAATTTTTTCCATAATTTTACATAAGCAAGAGGTTTGAGAAATAGGCCTGTATGAGTCTGGGTCTGATTTCGGTTTACCTGTTTTATGGATTGGTATCATGGTTGAGTGCTTCCATGCTACTGGTATTTGTCCGGTATCCCAGATGTTGTTAAATAAGTTAAGGACTATTCCTTTGCATGGTCCTGGAAGTTTTTTGATCATCTTGTATGTAACCTGATCTTCCCCTGGGGTAGTATTCTCTTTACAATCTTTCAATGCCCTCTCTAGATCATGTATTGTTATTCGTCTATTATATGATGACATAATTGGGTTTGTGCTTTGTTGAATTTCCATTTTAACTTGGTTGTAATACTGTTGACGAATATTTTTATTTGTGTTATATACATCATCTTGACTGTCTGAACACATGGTTTGGGCAAACACTCCGGCAAGTACATCAGCTTTTTCCTTGTTGTTTGTTATCTCCCTATTTCCGGATTTTAGTTTATAGTCATTGTTTTGTATATTCCCCTTCATTTTCTTTATAGTATTCCAAACAATTTTTGGATTTGTTTGGTATCCCACTTTATTTGAGTTTGTTCCCAGTATTCCCTCTTTTGCTGTAGTATTACTTTTTTTGATGTTGCTACCGCCTTGTTAAATGCCACTAGATCTTGGGGTAGAGAACTTCTTTTTAGTTTCCTATATGCTTTCTTTTTTTCTTTTACAGCCTTGCTGCAAATTTTATTCCACCATGGTATTGCATTTTTCGATAAAGCAATCACATTTTGTGGAGTACATGATGTGACGCTGAGAATTATGCCCTGACACAGGTTTGTATTAAAAAGTTCAACGTCATCGTTTATTGTTGAACCATTTATGTGATTGAAGCTTTCAATTTTATATTTTTCCCAGTCTGTTCTTTTAGTCGAGATGTATGGTTGCCTTGTTGCCTTTGAAGTGTTTTTATATGAGTTCAATGACATCCAGATTAAATTATGGTCACTTGCTAAATTTTCATGTAATATCTCCATCATGCATAAGTGGGCAATGTCTTTCGTTGTTATGCATAAATCAATGACAGAGCTTTCATTCCCATTTCCCACTCTTGTAGGCATTTCATCATTTAAAATAACTAATTCATGGCTTTCAATGAATGACTGTAGAACCTGTCCTCTTGAATTTGTCTGTGAACAATGCCAAATAGTGTTTTGGGCATTGAAATCTCCACATATGATTACTTTTTGTCTGTGTATATTAAGAATTTCATTTTGTTGTTTGTTGATTGTCATTGAATCGATTATGGATTATAATAGTCTCGTTTCCTACTTTTGACAGTGCATTGAACTGCAATAATGCTGGCTAAAAAAGGGCATGGTATGGTAAACCTCGTATAGATTATTTCCGGGTCAATTCGTTTGCCAGATAACGAATAATATATTTCATTCTTTCAATCTAAACCAGGGGTCACCAAACTTTTTGGATCGCGGGCCGGGTATGACTCAAACTGTGTTGAAACGGGCCGGATGAATATTTTTGTCAATGCAATACAATAAATTTAGAAAAGTTGGGAAATCCATTCAGTTTATTCAACAATAATATATAATCTACATTTCTGAAGACTTGAATATTAAATTCTATCTATATCGCAGAATATAGATCGAGAACATCCCAAGAAAACAAATATGCAAGATTTCTATATCTAGACAACTATCCTGATATTAGCTGTTATCAAAACGTTGCTGTCATGAATTCTGAATGTTACAAAATCCGCTTTTTTGCGCCAAAAATGTACGCATCACGTTTGCTTAGTTACGCCGTGTTGGAATACCGCTCATAAAAACGACTACGGACTGCCTGCTGTAGCTTGGAATTTCATGAAATTTTGACATAATTTAGATAAAATAAACAACTATTATCTGGATTTGAGTTTTTTCATCAGCGCATAAATTTTCTAACATTCGACACTTTTAAAAATTACGCTCCAGTTATATGTAGTGAAAACCAATGATAGTATACCGACGATCGCCTGTAATTGCGCCTTCAACAACGAACTCACTAAATGCAAGCTATCTTTTCTCGTATTGAAGTATGATTGTGACGTCGCAGTAACATAATTTTTGGATGACGTGAAAGGTGGGGCTAGAATATGCTAATTGTAACACCGCGCCCACAAGAAGTACCTTTGGGAGTATACGGTTCTTTATCTACTGAAATGGCGAAGCAATTGTTCTAGCAATTAAAACAACAATAACAACCAGAAAAAGAATTCCAGTTATACGTAGTGCAAATTAATGATATTTTCAATGGACACCAATAAATTTATATGAATGTGTGTATTTCTTTCCTAACTTGATACTTACCAATTTTCAGGAAGTTTGTACAATCAGAGCATCGTTACTTATTACCCACAATGAACCACTGTAAAACTATCATGCACAACTTTAGCGTTTATTTGAGACGATCTTTCGGCGGTGTCAATGACCGTTGCCAAAATAAAATCCTGAAATAGTCTCAATATTTCATATATGGGACGCAGATGGAAAGATTAGTGATTGATATGTGTTCTTTTTTCATATTTATTAGTTCTTATCAAAAAGTATTACAATTATTATGGAAAAAAGTGGCCTGTCGGGCGGTACTAAAATTCCGATATTTCTTGACCTTTTTTTATAAACTTGGTATTGTTTTTTATTTTCACTCAGATCTATCCACTGGCGCAGTTTTTATTCAAATCGGATGAACTTCAATATTTTAGGAACATACCTACATGAATATCCGACAGATTTAGACAGAACAAAAGTTACTTGTGACTTGTTAAATTGGAGCAGTACGCGAGGAATTACAGTACTGTTAGCGCAAAATGCACTTTGGACGTTTATTTTAGCACAAGAAACGTGAATGTTTCGTAGAAAGCACGCGCCACGAGTTTACAAGTACATCTTTCGCAGAAAACGTTGCGTACCGGTAGAGAATTTAGCCTATTTTGTCACTGCTATATCTTTAGACTAATTTTTCATTACTACTATTAAAACTACAACTCCTAAGGAGGCAAATGATAATTGACTTATTTGATTCATACTTAAATTTCCGATACACAATTAAAAACTAACGAATAGCATTCAAAGTCGCAAAAACGAAATATTGTTTACAACCACGACTGAAAATCTGTCAAGATGACAATAGTGTCTGAGCGGATGCAAAAAGGCCTATTATTACGTCACTTTTTTTTTGCAACGTGCTAATCGGCCAATGTTACGAAATAAACAAGGAAGACGATGCTCGGAAAAATACTCTTTGAAAAAAATTTAGCCATTTTTGCGTGTTATTGCGGGCCGGATAAAATGACGTCGCGGGCTGGATCCGGCCCGCGGGCCGTAGTTTAGTGACCCCTGATCTAAACAAACAGAAAACAGAATGCTGAATTTGTAGTAAACACGCCATCTGCACCATTTTGACTCTTTGATTTTTATAATGGTTTGAGTTCAATCAAACAGAATCTCATCAGATTCATAAGAAAATAGTTTCATTGTGAAGTTTTGTCAAATCAAATATTTTTTTAATGCAAGTTTAAACAAAAATGGTTTCACTGAACTGCCAGGGAACGTGTAGCTTCAAGTTGCCGACAAGCGTTGAATATTATTTACATTGTATAGTTCTCAAGGCTAATGTCATTGTCATTGCTTCGGTATGATCGGTTAAATCTCAGGTGTGGGCTTTTATTCCTTCTTGGGCATTTTTCAGACTTTTTACGTAAACACTTTTTACAAACATTTTTATTGCATTGGTATTGAATAAATTGTTTATGCATTATAACAATCTCGTTTCCTGCTATTGACTGTGCATTGAACTGCCATAATGCTGGCTAAAAAGGGCATGGTATGATATACAACGTATAGATTATTTCCTGGTCAATTCGTTTGCCAGATGACAAATAATATATTTCATTTTACCAATCTAGATAATTTAAAATGACGGCCACATGAAATAATAAATCGACTAACTTGGTAAAGTCAGCCAAACCATGTTTAATTAAAAGAAACATAGTATTCCAATGTAGGAAAAACGTTCGGACAATTAATACAAAATAAAATTACATCTTATAGTTGCTTCAATCAGAATAAAAATCGATAAAATTAATAAAAATCAGTTATACGTTTCCATAAAACCGCATAAATATCATTATTTGTATTTTATTGAAATATAATCATTTTTTATTATGTTGTGTGACAATTGAAACATTGCGCGAAAATGTGTTAATCAAAACACATATTTGATCGCATTCACGGTGTCGGCAAATCAAATCAATTTATTTCACGTGATGGTTTAGATTAATTTGTTTTCGTTTGGTAAAATATCACCATATAGTATTTAAATATCAACATCTCATACTGAATATGTAAATTGAAAATAAAATAATTCATCAATTGTTTTATTTCACTTTTATCTCAATTTAAATTCTAAAGGAAAAATTAGTATTATTCATAGTATGGAAACGTGACTCAACTTTTAGAAACCAACTCAACCTTTGGTGAACAGGAAATAACTTGAGTTTAGTTTTTAAGTATGCCCTTTTAAGTCGATAAAAGTGAAAATAAATGTAAAATTAGATGCTGGAAACAACATTTAATTCAACATATAAATAATCAGCAAAACCCTGCTGATATAAAAATACTTATTTGTTGCGTACAAAACATACAAAAAGAGCATGAAATGCAAAGATAGTTATTATACCAACTTACTACAGACGAATCAACATTAAAACATCAAAACTACTAAACAAATTATAAGATGAAGTGTGCAACATATATCGTTCAGTTGGTAGTCTTATAGCAACTAACCCCCAAATGTACCCCATTTCATGTTGAAATCATCATGACAAAGTTAATTTTTCCCAAAATTCGAACAAAGACTTTCGTAGGAATCAAATTACACCAGTTTTAGGAACATTACATGTTCCACCCAGTCATTATCAAATTAAAATTGATATTCTCAAGACCTTTGGCACTGATTGAAATATTTATCTCTAAGTTCCCATCCGTACGATGTACATAATTACCTTTATTGAGATAATAGGAGTTTCTGTTTATAACGTGAATCACGAGCTCACGTTTACAGCATTTAATTGGATTTATGATCAACGTATAAATACGACTCCGATATCTTTCGATAGGGAGAGAGAAGACGATGTAAACCATTCAAAGCGAGTGTGGATAAATGTTATAAGATTTATATTCTGTGTGTTGTGGAAATTTACGAATAAAAACACATAGAGATTTTTAACGCATCTTCATTCACGTGGGCGTTGAAGCTGAAGGGTGAACGGGTGACTTGCAAGTTCTGAGACAATCTACAAATTAGCAATATATGGTAACATCACATTCATCTACCATTTATGCTATAAATAACATTCATTTAAGAACCATTTATGCTATAAATGGTGACAAAACCGACTTGAATTAACCTTCTGAAACGGACCAGATCAACGGACAATAATCAGGACAGGCAACAATTTGACGGAATCAACCAAAAAGCTGACCAAGCGAAAGCTTTCAACAAGTGCCGAGAAACCGTCTCTACAAATCGTGCGGAAATTAAATTCGACCAATTTACGAACGTCGGGGAGATTCAAATTGCCTAGAACAACGAGTGAAGTATCAAATTGCTGACAAGCCGAAATAATCAAAAACATTATGAAAAGACAATAATTTCAATTGAAAACAGTTGAACTATGGTAACGGACTCTGGAAACGTTAAAATCATGAATATGGACTGTATTGAACATCGATCGAAATGAACTCTTTTAGAACATGATATATGTTCGAGATGAAAAACCTAATCAAAAACAAACTGTTGAAAACAATGAACGATATGGACTGTTTTACGGTAAATTACGCGCTCTATTCCAAACAATAGAGATATTTTCGCGCATACCTAATGGATATACAGATCAGGAGCATGTTAAATCTACAATTTGTTTCATGATTTGCAGGTTTTTCTCCTCATTGAGACAGACATTTTTCATTCTTCCACTAATACTAAGGTAAAGTACTTCTTTGTCTTCCTAAATATACATGGCGTTTCATTTGGTTTTCAATTTTTATAAATTAATTAATGGTAAAACTTTGAATATTCTAATTTCAATTACCTTTAAAGAGATTTATATTATTGAATATTTGTGGTTAGCATTCCTTTTCGATTAAATATATTTCGTTATTATTAAAATGTTTTCTAAAAGTAGATTCGAGCGAGTCATACTTTT